AATACTCACAGCAGAGAGGCAGAGCAAGGAGTGAGTCAGAGATAGTGGAGATACATGCAGAACTAGTGAAAGGGAAATGCCACATCCCAATGATCCCTAAAAGGACTTAACATGGAAAAATTAAGAAATATCAAGAATCTTAGAGAGTATCAGTTTTTAAACTGAGGATCAGGGGATTGATCAAATATTTCATATCATAAAGACTTTCATGATTTGGGGGACTTCATCCTCAATTATGAAGTACACCGTGCTATAAGCAGTGGTGGCCATCTTCCCAGTGGTCCCATACTGCCCTCTACACAGTATCAGGAATAAGTACCAGTTTTGCATTTAGCAACATGTATTTACAGTATATGCCTTCACCTTGGTTTTGGATTGCCCCCCCCCCCGCCCCCTGCCACAATGATAAAGTTGAGAGGTTGTGTACTTACTAAAGACCAATGAAAGGTCATTAGGCTTTGAAGTGAAAGGAGCTATTGATGTTGTAGAAAACTAGGCAATCAACAACTCTGTGTCTTAGACCTAAGCCCAGTTATGAACTTCAAGTGGGGGAGTTGTATGTCTTTCGTAATAAGAACTACGTGCCTTCCTGCCCAGCCTGACTCTATCTGTTAGGTTCAGGAAGCATGTCATTGCAACCTGCATAGCTAGAACCTTGAAGATGGAGCTTTATTGTGGCCCAGGTTGCACGGGCCTAAAAATAAGCAAAAGAAGAAAGAAAAGGGGAGGAAGAAGGCAAAGTAAGAAGGAAGGAGTGAGTGAATAAAGGAGAAGGAAAGAAAGGAAAGGAATAAGGAGGGTGGGTAAGTAGATTGCCCATTCTTCAATTCAAAGTCAACAAGATTAAAGGGGAAGGGAAGGAAGGGCCTCTGTAAGGTGTTGGCTATTCCTTCTCCACCCACCAGTGTCAGGAGGGGTCTCTGTAGCCAGAGGCTCTGACAGAAGCATTGTGTGGGCAGCGGGGTGCTCTGCTGACCAAGCTAGGCCAGAGCAGATACAGCAGCTGGTGAGCTGCTGCGAGCCAGAGGCAGCAGCAGGTAGAGACCTAGAGCCAGAGTCCCCGAGTTCATGATTATTCATCCTTGATGGTGGGTCAGCACATTTCCTGCCCCGTCCACCGCAGTGACATGCTGACTTTTGCAGGGTCAATTTGTCGTCCCTCGTCCTCGACAACGGATATACGAACACGTCTCCACTCTCCATTCACCTCCCCAGAGGGGTCAAAATAACTGAATGACAGTGCAAGAATACGTTGTATTTATAATACTTTCTATGTAAGCCAGTGGAAACATTTCTCTTTCATTTGTTCTCATTCTTCGCACATTCTAGTATCCTGCCAAAGACAACTTTAGTGTACCTATTTGGATAATACCTTTTAGGTATTTTTCTTCATGCCTGAACTAAGTGGACATTTTTCTAAATGTGTGAATACAGTGGTACAGTGGGCATGGGCTAGGATTCAGCTCCTTGGTCCATTCAGACAGAGCAGTGTTCATGCCATCAGTGAAGATTTGAATGTCTTTTGATGCTGTGAGAAGTTTCATAGTCTGTATATGGAACATAACCGTCTCAATGTTCTTACACTGGTAACTGAGATCTACCCCTAAGATGATGATGGCTGTACCTTGTCCCTGTGCTTCTCTTAGGTTTCCATTCTCAGAACAGACAGGGAGAGCAAATAAGGGCAATGGTTTCTGTGTTATTAATTCTTCCCAAGTGAAGCTTATGTAAAGTGACTGCTTCACATGCTTGACATTTAACCATCAGGGTAACCCCACTATGTTCTCATGGTTCCCTGCTGCACGGCAATGATGAAATTAGAGAAACAAAGGGGTATACAAGCAGAGTTTGAGATATCAGTTTGAGCCAGACATTTCCAGAGGCCAGTTTCTAGACCCACACGCTATTTATCTATAGAGACAAAAATGTATGTCAGGAGCTCCAGCTTGTGATGTGGAGGTGAAGAAACATCTGATATCTTCCTCCTCACGTCATGAAGCCTTTCTTCTAGCCCATCACTGTTCTTTCCCTTCACAGTGAAAAGCCCTTCTTCGTCTTCCATATCCCATCCCCATCTCCCCTAACTCCCATCGGCCTGGGTCCACTGATCCTTAGACAAGGGACTTGAATCTTTGAAATGTTGAGTGCTTACTCACTCATTCCAGGTGAGTGGCTTGTTTCCCCATTAAAGGAAAGTTCTGTTGATCAATCCAGAGAAATGTGAGGATTATTAAGGTATCAAGACCATTGACGATAAAAGAATAAAATTACAAAGACATCTACGCTGGCCTATTATGCACCATTGTTCAGGGGGTACTTTTTCATTTTACTTTTTACTTTTAAAGTGATTGTTAACTTATAAAATTGTAACTGACTAGATTTTTTAAACTGCCCAAGCATCCTACAGTGAATCTTCATAATGAAGGTCTCCCCTGATTCTTCAGAAAACATTCTAAGTTACTATTTTAGGAGTTGGGTGTTGACGGCATACCACTTTTTGGAGGTAGTTAATACTTAGCAGACTCCTTCACCGGATTCTTACAGATGCCTCATAATAAAGCATGCTATGATTGAGCTCTAACCCCACACAGTATAAAAAAATAGACACTAACTCCTTCAAGGACTCTCTGTGGGGACACAAGGAAGCAAGTGGGCATGTGGATTACTTTTTATTTCAAAAATTGGGGGTCAAAAGTGCTGAGTTCCAGGAAGATTTGTGTAATATTCATAATAAAATAAAATCTGAGCTAGCAAATTCTTTTGATATAAACACTTTCCCCTCCATCCCAGCTTTTATTTTTCTGGTGCAGTCAATTCAAAGAGCTTCCTTGTTAAACGTTAGGACCCATTTAGTTTTTTCTTGTGATATCCAGCAGAGTCAGACAGCAGAAAAGCTAAGTCCAGAGTTAAGGACCGTGCAAAAAGCCACAGCCTGACCTTCTAGGGTCAACCGTGCAATCTGTCCCTAAGATCTCCCACTCAGCTGCTGAACTGCCTTGACCTCGAGCATCCAAATCCAAGGTAGAAACACAAAGCACTAAGATGCCTGCCCTTTTCTGTTTTGGGAAACCAATAGTTTGAAATTTTCTTTTTCTTTTTTTTTTCTATTGGTATCTACTTCACTGTTCAGCTCATTCTTAGGGGAGTCCATAAATCCTGCTGTAGACTTTAAAACACTAGTAGGGACGATAGTGGGAAGAATGAGGATTAAAAAAAAAATCAGGAATGAGAAAGCATCTAAGGACAGATAAGCCAACAGGATAGAATGAAGAAACAAGACTAACTAATGAGCTGTGATAAGCTTAAAATGATGAGAACCTGGTGGGGCTGGGGTGGTGATCACAAGCTGGAAAGCAGTTGTAGAGGCCATGGAGAGAAGGTAGCGTGGTTTAGCAATGGAAATGCTCTTGTGAAAATCAGGGCAGAGTGCATTGATCCAGCTGTGAACAGTGTGATGAAAAAATATTAAGCTAAGTCACTTAAACACTCTGAATAATAATAGTAATAATAAAATAAAATACAGCAGAGAGTATAGTATGGGACAGTGGTCTCCAACTGCTACATAAATGCTGAAAAGCAGTTCAGCTATTTATTTCCAAAGCTGGAAACTAAATAGCAAATACATAGTGAAGGTTTAAATCACTTTGTTTTTCTACTTGGTACTTGTATAACTAAGACACGACTGTTCTCTGAAGATTATTGACCTGTTATGTCTTAATGCATGGAGGAAGTTTTCATATTTAACCTGCAACTTTCAGCCAAGCTAGAGAGCACACTGGGTAAGTTGCCTGGAACTTTTCTCAATGGCCAGATGTGGAGGACCTGGAGACCAGGACAAGGCTACTTTTCCTTACTGACCGTACAGTACAAGATGGAAGGCAGACCCACCTTGAAAGTGCTGTTCTCTCTGTGCTTTGGTTTTGATTGGTTTTTCATTTGGCATGTGTCGTTATTTCAATAACGTCCAGAAAGAATGATGCAGAAAGGTACACTAATTGTGTTTCACTATAGAGTTAGGAGTTGAAAAGTAGTGAGCCCTGTCTCTACCACATTTTCCCACCTTGCTGAAAGAGCCTCAGGGAGGGTTTAGAGTCAAACCTAGAATATTAATGAGAAGTATGGAAGATACACTAAAATCTAAATTCCATCAGTATATGTAATTCAAAGGAAGAAGCCCAAGTATGGGGCCATGTGAGTGAGAGACTCACATACTTTAGACCCCAGTGTTCCAACGAAAATACTTGCTATTACTTAACAGGATATATCATCAAAGCTTGACTGGTTAAACAAATTTCAGAGGAGATTGAGTTATAGCAAGTAGGGTTAAGAGATGGACTAAAGATAAAACTTTATTGTTCCAAGAAACATATTACCAGGGAGCCTTCTTCCTCTGACATTACTATTATGTAAATAAAACCCATGAGAAAAGGTGAGTTAGTGTTTCCCAAAATAAGTATCTCAGATTCTTGGACAAAGGTGAAAAAAAGCTTTAGGATGAGGGAGATAGCCATTGTTCCATCTATCATGAGCCAAAGACAAGAACAGGACCAAGAAAGATTTTATAACTTCTGTAATCTGTTCTACTCCCTCTCCCTAAAAAGATGACATCTTGACATCTTAGTATTGGGTTTTCTAGCAGAGGAGAGGGCTAGAGGGTTACCACTGGTATTGGCTCCCTACTCTTGCTAAAAAAGGGGGGGTTATATTTATAATTTCATGGGTATTTGTCTTTGATATTTAGCAGGAAGAACAAATAAATACCACATGGGAGAAAAGATTCTATAGGCATGGAAATTCCTGTTCTGTAATTGTTTGAGCAATTAACCTTGAGAATGCATGTGTATTTAAACACTCCATGATGTTTACCATTTTTCCCCTTCAGAGCGTGTTTTACCCACAGTCCCCCACCCCATTCAAGGTCAGTATGATTTTTATCACCGTAGTTCTGTTCCTGGGTCATTCTCCAACATATAATATGCAAAACACACAAAAGAGGAAACTACATTCTCAGAATTCACATTTATTAGAAGTTATCTTTTCCCCATAAACACTGCAAAACAAGACAATCTATTGAGAGTAACAGGTGTGTCACTGACTTAATTTCAATCAGTAAGTTAGATAGATAGGGAATAATGTATTTTCAATCTGTTTTTATTATAGGTCTCTAAGAGCTTCCTTATTGGGAACACAGCTGCCTGGGTGCTGTAGCTCTCTCACCCACAAAATGCACATTAAAGATCCTACTGGCCACCCCAAACACAAATGTTTATAGGCTCTGAATCTATAGTGCTATAAGCATTGGTGCTGCTTATAAAATGTATTTCCCAAAGACTAAACACAACACAATTACACAATACTGCTTTTCCTAAACTCTTGGCCAACTTGTGTGTTTTACCTTTTAAACATATATGCTTTTGAAAACACAAATAACAATTTATGAAATAGTCACTCTGTATTCTTTTCAAAAACTCTCTACACATCCAATTTAAATTCTGCCTCCTACATCACATTTAGATGCAAAGTCACAGCCACAACTTTCTAGCTTAAGGGTATTTAAAGGCAAATTGGCAAATAAAATTAAAATAATACAAAAAAATTGAAATGAAACCAACCTACCATTGAAATTAAATCCCAGAAAAGTGATTCGCAAATAACACTCAAAGACGTGAGAAAAAAAAAAAATGGAAACTAGGCCATGCAGGGCCTAGTGTGGAAAAAAAAATAAATCCAATTAAATAAGATGATCATACACACTATAAGGAAAGTGTGCTCAGAATTATATGAAGAAAGCTACTGTTTCATAAATTTGAAGATGGATCGTGTTTCATTAACTTGTCCAACCTGAAATTCAGAGCAGGATATCTTTAGAGTGTCAATAATGTGATGTTTTGCATATGTATGCATTCACATATATGCAAACTTGCTTTAATTGTATTTACAATGAGTAGTAGAAAGCTTCTAGGGCTGACAAGACAGCTTAATAAATTTTAAGAGCAGTCTAGACTATTTTGGTATAAAACTTAGAACTCAGTTGAACAAAATCACTTCCCTAAAGCATTAATGAAATCTGTTCCTTACCCTGGCCACTAAAAATAAAACTGTTAAAGTGTGCCTGGTTTTCAGACTTGACATGAAGTGCAGCATTTGTGGAAAATATTCCATCTTGAGTTCCTGACATGCCACAATTATTTTAAGACATTTAGCTTCTAGTGTTGCCACGGAGATTGACACCATTTTATCATGTTGGCATCTTGCAAATGTATCTTGATAAGGAAAACACACACACACACACACACACACACACACACACACACACACACACACATCTGCCCCAGTGAATTACATTTGCAAAGGGGTCATGCCCTGTCCAAGATGAGCTTCTCACAGTATCAGGATGACTCTGAGTGTCTCTGTGACAGCGGTTCTGCAGCCACAAACTCAAATATTTATCTGATCATGCATTGTGGTTGAACAAAGTGACGCCAGACGCCATTCACAGAGGACAGCTGCCGAACGCTAGTCTCACTGAGGGACTGACCTTGTTGAATTTTATGGAACTTGGCTTCCCACACACTGAACTGTTGATTGGAGAATGACCCTCGTTTGATTTTTGCGTTGTATGTAGACTGTAGTTAGCTTTCTTAGATAGTGTTTAGAGAATATAGTTCATCTTCTACTAATACGTTTGGCTTCTGCTAGCAGGGATTGAAAAGCTGTTCGTGGAGACACGGGATATCTGGTGTGAAATGTCCCTGGAGAATTTCTGGTTCTCTTGAGCCGACTGTCCTTTACAAGGACACCACCTTCCTAGGGACCCAATCACTTTCTCCTTCTCTTTCCAATCAAGAGGGCCTCCCGCATGAAATGCACTTCCCCATAGAAAGAAAAGTCAATGACAGAATGCCTAGGCCTGTAGAGTGACAATTCCTCTAAAGCATGTCTTACTGTGGTCACCACTGTTGTGCGTGATTCCCTTATTTAATTAACTATTATATATTGTCCTCATCTACATGGACTCTTAGCTTCTACCTCCACAGTGTTAACTATGTCTTGTGTTTGTGGTTTGAGGCAAATGGCCTGAAGGATGCTAGACCAGTTGATTTCTTCAAGGTGACTTGAAAGTCACAAAGGCCATTGTCTGCCCTTTTCAATAGAAAGGAGAACTTCATCCCCTAACCATAATCCAGCTGAAACACTTTTAATTACAATGGCTTCTTCCTTAGTGCCTCACATCAGAGGGTTGCCCCTCTCATCCTCTCATGTCCCTAACCACCAGTGGCCCTCAGGTCATCTGGGAATGCACTGCCATGCCTGCAGTGATTCCAGTATACAGATGATACCAAACATTAATGTCTATTTCCTGTGGCCAATTAGAAATTTTCCAATGCCCTTACCTCTGGGCCAAACATGAAACAAAACAACAAAAGCAGGGTGCTTCCCTGTTCCCTAGTTAATATACAGATATATTAATCAGGATATTAATCATTAATTATTAATATATATGGAAAATAAGTATTGTTCCTTCCTTGATTTGTTTCTGATAGTTGAATTTTCCCATTAATTTTAATTTAGATTTATTCATTCTGAAATAAGTCCTGAATTGCATGTATTTGCATAAATATCTCAACTATATCACTGCAGAAAACCCACTGAATTGTAAAATGACGGAAGAGTCAGTTCTAAAATTCTGAGGTATTTTTTTCTCACTCTGTTTGGCTCGAGCCATTTCCCAGGGCTTCTGTGAACCTGGGCATTGGTGGTGTCTCCCCTTACCTGACTTGTGCTGGAAGACGCCCTCGCCCTGACAAGAAGCACAGTTCAGTCTGAGGCAATGAAAACAGTATTAAAAAGTTAAAATCAAGAAGGGAGGCCAAGGACAACCACCATTGTTTTGTCTTTACAGCTTCTAAGCAAAATTTCCCTTGAGCATGTGGCTCTCAGGGCTTTATCAGCCCACCCTTCTCCAATCACTGCCTAGATTATAATTTAAAAAAAAAAAAAAAACAGGAATGACTGTGTCTCATTTGTTTGTCTCCCATCTGATTGTTTATCCCAAGTGAACAGCCTTTCTGATCACTAACCCCATGCGGCAAGTAGATCTGGGAAATGTTGAGATTATCTTCCAGGTTCAGGCATCACGCTGGGTTTGTTCACAGCTGCTTGCCATTCAGTCCCTGTTTTTCCATTGATAAAACATTGCACATGGCTGGGTTGGCATGATTAATGTGGCTATCGAAAAGCTCACTCTGAAAACAAACAAACTCCCCAAAATTAAATTTAAAAAAGAAAGTACAATCCAACCTGCAAATAAACCAGGTTTACACGAATTTGAAGTTGCCCTATTTTGCTTTCGCCCCAAATGAGACTGGTGTCCTTATGGGTAAATCTGGCATCTAAACAGCCAGACTCCAGTTACGGTATACAAAGAGATACACTTGCTCCTACCTGGCTTTCCCAGGAATGGGTTCTTCAAATCAGGCTCAAAGAGAATGGAAGGGAAAATGGGAGGAGAAAAAACCCTGCATATATCCCATGCTGTAGAGATGCTTGGATAAACCTTGTGTTTTCATTTATTTTCTGAATATATCATGCTGGAAATCAAGGAGGAGATGCCCCTATCAACTCCTAAATCTAACAGGTTCATCTGCTACAGCACTGGTAGTATGAAGAATAACAATAATATCTAATGTGTTTAGTGTGTTTCTCATTTACCAATTCCTTCTAAGGTATTTTGTATGTACTATCTTTACTAACTCCCACAATCATCAGAAATTAACACTTCCCACATTTTAATGACCCAAGTATACCGAAATCCACTCTACCTCATGCTAAACCTAGGTCATATATATATATCCATATAATGCATTACTAACCAACATTATGTATGCATTCATAATGCTCATTAGATATGCACCTATCTATCAAGTTGCAATGATTCATCTAATTCATTTTACACACTACAATACATACATACATAATAGTCACTTTATTATCCATACATTTTTGGAAAGTCATATTTGTATGCCTGACTAACACAGAGATTTACATGAAAGCATTTTAAAAACACAGAAACAAGACTGTCTAGCATCACTACATCTAATTTCACACACTTATTCAGACTGATTTGCATACACACCTCTATTAATTATGGGTAATTACTAGCATTGTTCTCTGTAATTCAGTTTTTCCAACTGTGAAATGGGAAAGAAATTGTATTTTTCATGCCTACAAGCTCAAAGTGGTATTTTAAATATTATATGAAGAACGCTAGAAAGAAAGTATATTGAATTTCAAATAATCATATTCAGTTGCACACCCTTCCTATGGCTTTTAAAACCACTCTCCTGAGAGGTACGTTCATGTCATGTGGACACAAGCATTAGGTACACATGACTTGTGTGTAGCTTCCTTATAGTTTGATGGTTGTGAATCTCAAGCATGTTTTCCATGCCCACCCTGCTAAGATGTTTAAAATAAAACTATTTCAAGAACAAGAGAAAAAGAAGAAGATTTTGTCTTAGTTTTTACTCATACCAGAATAAACATCTTGAAGAGGAACCTCAAAATGGCGCCCTTCTCTGTTGTATGGCCCTTCTCAATGACGGCCATCATGCACACTACCTCATCATGGTATTTCAAAGTCAACAAGCCAAAGAATGTGCCATTTGTCCCAGTCAAAGATATAGATCATGTCTAGGGAGTTTCAAAACACATCTCTCCCTTCCTATTGGCTGACAGAAATAAAGGTCTTATTTCTCCTGAGAAGACTTATGCAGCCATGACATAACAAACTCACAGAATTACCACTGGCCGCAGTTAACACACAAGAAAACAACTAAGGCTCAATCTGCGCACATTCTCCTATGGCTCCTTCAGATAGTGAGCAACAGTCTTCCTGTTGATTTTCCTCACTTGTGAGTGACTACACCGGCCATACCATTATTTCACAGGGCATCAGTAAGAGACTGAATGACACTGAATGATTTAGACCCAACTGTAACAAGCGAGGTCTTATCCTCATGTCCATGTCTTACCTCTCTCCACCTTTCTACTCTTCACTTGATTTGTCTCCTAAACCATTCTTGTTAAAATCTGCTAACACGAATCAATATGAAATTTACCCACCACATTACTGAAATGTCCAACAACAGCTTTGCAGTGTTATATCTCTCTGGATTTACATTTAGCTTCAAGCTAAATGGCTAAATGCCCTACAGCATACATTTCCAGGCAGGAAAATCCTGAGTGCTGGGACTTTTCTTCTCATCTTTTCCTATTCCTCTAGTGTGGATCTGCTGACTCCAGCCAGCCTTTCCTGGTCTCTTCCCTTTGCTTATGCCTTGTTGTGCTATTTTGATTTCTACAGCCAGCTGGGATTCGAAAATGAATATTTTTTTTTTTGAAAATCCAAGCTTCCACTAAATTTTAATTTGATGGAAATATTACTCTTGTATGAGCTTTATGGAAAAGAATCTTTCAAAGTAACAATTACATTTGGGGATTAAGTTTAAGTAATTGGCAGTCTTGTCTTTTTAATTAAAAGGAATAAAGCTGCCTATGAAGAGCTCAATAAGATTTGCAGTGGAAAATGTTGGCATACACAGGCTAAGAAGACTGGGTTCCTGAATGGACAGAAAAGGCTGGTGTGGGCTCCTCTGGTCTTTAGAGTGCACCCTAGCAGAATTCTCCTTAGTGTTCCCCACATGTTATTCAATATGAAAGTACTGTGAGAGGCATTGCAGGTAGAGCTGGAGTAGACTCTTTCTTTAGGAGCTTGTCTCTGGGTTCCTGGACATGGTATGGAGCTAGGGACCTTAAAGAAAGCACTAAGAAGTGAAGGGGGAGGGAGAGAAATGAGCAAGTAGCTCAGTGATAAAGTGCTTGTCTAGCATGTGATGAGTCTTTGGTTTAATCTTCAGTATCCCTCTACCCAGACAGGATATATTACATATTCCTCCAAGTACTAAGGAATCAGTGTGTTCCCAGACCTTGACAAATATCCTACCATAGTCTCGTGAACATAAACCTTATCTTCAGTCTGTTCCTTGGTTCCCTCTTCCTCTATTACCTGCAATTCTTATCCTTGTATATGTATTTCTCGATTTTCTTTTTCTCTACATTTTGTTCAGGTTAATCTTGAATTCACCTGTACATAGTCTCTAGGACTCCCTTCAAACAGAACAAAAAGAGAAGTTTGGAGAGTCGTAGTGATCACTTCTAAACATGGGTCACTGTCAAGCAAACACCAGAGAGCCACTGTAGAATCTGTCTGAAGGAAACAGCAATCTCTAAAGAGGTGGGATACAAATTAACCTTAGTAACCACTTCCTTACACGGTCCCTCTTTCCTCACGATGCTCTTTCATCATCCTAAGTTATTTGTAGGTATTAAATTAAACGAGCACTTTGATGGAGAAAACGAAAGGTAAAGCACGCCCCTTACATCTCCCCTTGCACACTGCTGTGAGCACACACACCTGCCAAGTCAGAACACAGCATGAACTAATGAGAATGGAATTCCAATTTAAGGTGTTCATACGTGCCAGATGTATGAGGGGAGTCGGCCCACTACTCACCGGGACTCCGCTGAGAATTGTCAGCTTATATCCACCACGAACTGGGGGGGAGGAGAGACCTTACGAGCATTTATCATGCTTTCTAGTTGGACACCGGGGAGCCGAGCTTGCCACTGTGTACTACACCGCTCTGCTTTTCACTAACACAAGAAGAAAACACTCCCCACATGTCTGTAGGCACACTTGACACCTACAGAGCACCGCCAATATGATATCTCGACTAAGTCATAGGAAAAAGTTTCTTGCTTATCTTTCCACCTTAGAGACCTTGTATTTCCAGCATGACTTCTGCCACTGCCCAAGAGGACACGGGGGCAAGCATAGCATCCTTTCAGCAGGGGTTGGGGGTGGGGACAGGGAGGGCAGAGCTATTAAAGGCAGTTGAAGAGAACAGTACCTAGGATGTTCATTCTAGCTATCCCATGTGCTCTAGCTCACACAGCTCCAAATGTCCCCAGCCATGTTCTATCTTGAAAACCTATTTGACCATTGGACAATGGTTTTTTTAAAATTACAAGTTTGGTTTGCTTTCTCACTACTCGGAAGCAGGGACTGTTTGGGGAGCAGACTCTAAGCAATAACTTGTACTTCGTTGTTGATTGCACAAGCTCCTGTAACTTGGGGAACTTTCAAATTATCTCCCGAGAGTTCCAGAACACAGGTAAGTTTGCCATGGAATGCTTCTGAGGGCAACTGGAAAAGAGAGAATGATTCCCTGGAGGCTCAAAGCTCACATTCTGACTCCCCAACTCTGGACTTCTCATTGCTTCCCACTTGCTCTGGCTTTTGCTTTGTAGTGTTTCCTTTAGAGTTCACGTTTTCTCTTCCTAAGCTGCCTACTCACTAGGAACATAAGAAAGAACACGCCTTGAAAACTGTCAATCAAAACTCATCTTTGGCTCAAGCTAAGTTAATTTGGCCATGAACACTATTATGAAGATACCATTGATTTACTCAAAGAGATGTTATCCTAGAATGTGTTCTGAGCTGGGCCTTTGGGGGTAAGTGTACAGAGCTAGGCACAGTGTCTACACAAGGAAGGTTTACAGACACCATGGAAAAGTCTGTGGTGTAGGTGATTAAGCAACCAAGTCGGCTTTGTTAAGTACCATATGAGGGCACCTGCAAGATGCTGAGGAAAACAGAACTGGGTACTTAGGTCAGCAGGCCAAGGGTGCTTTCCCTGGGAAAGGGAAGATGGACAGTAAAAGGGGGAGAGGGATTTGAGGAGCAGAGATTCCCAGCACACACAGAAGTCTAGAATCCAGGAAGAGCCTCACTGATATGTATTCAATATAAAGCCCATTTGATTCTTAAAGTCTAGGGAAAAAGCATTTTCCCTAAATTTCTTACTTCTGTTCTTTTGTATTTGGCAAGGAGAGAAGACAAGAGGAATGAGGGAAGGAGAGAGGGAGGAAGGGAGGGAGGGAGAGAGTGAGGGAAGGAGGGAGGGAGAGAGGGAGGGAGAGAGGGAGGGAGGAAGGGAGGCCGAGGTTATGAAAGAAATGGTAAACATTTGTGCTTTGTTATGAGAAAGGTCACATTGGACTGGCCGTCCAGGCAAGCATGGATATTATGTGCTCTATGGTAGCAGCATGGTCCAAGGTTAATTGTCTGGGGTGTGCTGGGGTGCAGAAAACTTACAGCCTTCTATCCGAGTTTGTGGTAGGTTCTGGTTTTAGTTGTAGGAATGGTCAGGTTGTAAGGAAACAGCCCTGTTTGTAGGAAGTTTAGGAAGAGCTTGGATGGATGCTATACTTGGGGTCAGTTATAACAGGAGTATACAGAAGGCGCTGTAGAAACAGAAACTTTGTGACTAAGGTTTCCTGGAGATAAAGAAAGAAAGTCACCAGAAAGGGCCAGAGGCATTGCTTCCCTTACCAAGGCCTACACTGTGACGTTTTGCTCCACAGAGGCAGACGCAGGGGGACCTCAGAGCACACCAACATTTTAAAATCCCTTATCTTCTTATTTTCAGGAGCTTTTAAACCCTAGGAAATCTCACGGATTCCCTTATTCTCTCTGCATTCAAATTCAACAGGCCAGTTACGTATTCATTTCATGGCATTCGAATGTTTTTGAATTTGAAACATACAAAATGAAAACTCACGTTACATGGATTAAAGATTGCATTGACTCCCTCGGGATTTTTAATCTAAAATGTACGTTTAAATGATTCTGGAATTCACAATTTAGACCCTGGAAATAGGAAGCAGGGAGTAAAACCAAAAAGAGGCAAGAAAAAGAAAAAAGAGATATACCTCTAGAGATATATCAAACCTTTGCATTTAATCCTTTTTTTTTTTAGCAATTCAAATAGATGAAGGGGCAAAAATCATTAAAACATACCGAATATGTGTATTTTAAAACAGAGATGTTAGACTCTAGTTTCTGCTTTAACAACTAAATAGGATCCGCAACTAAAGTGGGCTTAGGTTGGGTAGTTATGTGGCAGTTAACTGGACTCCGTTACAGCAGGAGGCTAAGGACCAAGATGGCACCCACAGGTGCGACACTCTAGGGACAAAGATAGAAACTACCTGCCTGGCCAGGAGCCTCTCACTGACAACTGTGCCAAGCGTCCTTGCTCTTTGAGTGTTCTGATCTTATACGTACTTTTTCTACATTACGGACCCGGAGAACTCTTTATTAAACTTAAGCCTATGGGCATTCTGGAACACTTTAGTTCACTGATTATTAAAAATTAAACCTACCAGGGTGAATAAGGAACCCTCAGGGTTTGAAAAAGCAGCCTTGATGTAGGAGACTGACTGAGGCGGTCTGTTCACACTGTGAGTGGTTAATGAGACTGTCTTTTCTGTAACCATCCATGGGGCAGAGCCTGTAGCGGTCGGATCCTTTCTAGGAAGAGTCGCCAGGACATTCAGCGTGTGGTCGGAAGGGTCCATAGCTCTGCATAAGCCTCTTCTATTGCCCTCCCACTTCACACTGGGAAGCCATGGTCCTTAGAGAAATTAGAGTCCAACCATGCTGGCTTCTCTTCCGCCTCAGTATGTGATACCCACCAACTCAACTTGTAGGGGACGGATGCAGTTGCCTTAAAATACTGCCAACCAGGTGCCAAGTAATCAGAAAAAAAAAAAAAAAAACTTTTAAATTTTTCCTAGATACAACTTTTTAGTTTGTAACATGTTCATAATGACATGACATCCAGAAACACTTAAAATAGTAGAAATTAAAACTTACTCTTCTCAAATTCACAGCAAAGAGGTAACTGTGTGAGAAGGAACACATTCTAGATCTTGTTTTAGGTGATGGTTACACAGATATACACAAGCATCCAAGTACTTGAGATTATTGTCATAATACCTGAATTTAAAAAGGAATGTGCATAATACATACAAAATAATACAGTTTTAGTAACGAACTATAGGAATAATCCCTGAAAGTATAGTCTTAGGCCGGGCGTTGGTGGCGCACGCCTTTAATCCCAGCACTCGGGAGGCAGAGCCAGGCGGATCTCTGTGAGTTCGAGGCCAGCCTGGGCTACCAAGTGAGCTCCAGGAAAGGCGCAAAGCTACACAGAGAAACCCTGTCTCGAAAAGAAAAAAAAAAAAAAAAAAGAAAAAAAAAGAAAGTATAGTCTTAAAATAATACAGTTTTAAATGTATAATCCAGACTTGAACAATCAGAGAAGCATATTAGTGGTGAGCCCATGACTCAAGCCAATCAGAACCTTCCTTCGAAGGCCAATCAGAACTTTCCCTGAAATTACCAGAGAAGATTGTGGGCACTCAGGATCGTGGGGGCCACTTTCTTTACCAGCTGTCCTAGCCTATGGAATGACACTAGCTGAGAACACGTCCTACCATTGGTCGTGAATGGCACCTGGCCGAGATTACTCCTCCGAGCCTGGAGCATGTCCTTTTCCTTCTGCTTGAAGCATCGGCAGCTGACGGCTCTCAGCCGAGGTGCTCCTTATGCATTGCCCTCAGCCAAGCACAGCGGCTTGAACCGGTGACTAACTGATGTGAGACTAGGATGTCTAAAGACCCCCTTTCCACCATACCAGACAACTCGAGGCATGATTTGGGCTTAGGGTTCTTCATAGAGCTGGTCTCCTTTCTCTGTCCAGTTCCACTTCCTCCTGTAGTCCTTTCTCTCATCCTGATATTGAGAGTGCTTCCCAGGAAACTTCCTGTGCAGGCTGCCTCCATCTCTGTGGATTCGTATGTACACCGATCCCATTGATTTTAGAGGGCCTTGTGTGCTTAGTGTTCTCTGTCCCCTCTGGCTCTTACATTCCTTGTTCCTCCCCTTCTGTTGGGTTCTCTGATCCCCAAGGAGAGGGATTTGATGGAGACATCCCATGTAGGCTAAGAGTTCCAAGGTCTCTTCTCACTCTCTGCAAGTTGTCTGGCTATGGGTCTCTGTATCTGCTCCCATCTGCTGCAGGAGGAAGCTTCTGTGATGATGGTTGTGCAAGGCACTGGTCTATGAGTATAGCAGAATGTCATTAGGAGTCATCTTATTGCTATGCTGTTAGTAGAACAGTAGTATTTTGGTTTACCCAATGTCCCTGGGCTGTCTAGTTTCAGGTTCTTGGTCACCCAAGCAATGTTGGGTATGGATTCCATCTTGTGGAGAGGGTCTTAAGTCAAACCAGACATTGGTTGATGACTCTCACAAGCTTTGCGCCACCATTGCACTAGTTGGTTTAGCAGACAGGACACCATTATAATGAAACCGGGTTTGTGTTTATGTTTCTCCTTTGGTAATATACGGAGTACTCTTCCTGTACCAACGATGCTAGCCTATAGGGGTAAAGGCGCAATGTAGGCACCAGCTTGGCTTTTCCATGTGATGAATTGTTCAGGTGCTGACTTCAACAATGGAACCTTGTCATCAGTTTGTGCAGAGCAACTTACATTCTTTGCAACAGCCGAGGTTGTTGGGTGGCCCCATGGGACCCCTTTGGCAAACAAAGCAACTAGATGTTAGGCATTCCCAGTACTGAAGGTTTTACTTGTTGACAAGAGATGACCAACTTGGGCTCTGTCTCCCCCATTATTTGATGGTTTCATTTAGATCACCTTCATATATGTACATATTTTGGGAAGCTTCTACTTACTGTTTTGTTTCCATACTACCCTTCAAATATTTTTAAGTGCATGATTTGTTTTCTATAGTTTTCTATTTTAAAAATAAAGACAATATCTCCTCATGACAAGGTTTTTTAAAATCCTGAAACTACAAAAAAGAAAATGAAGATCATATAAAATCTATTTCCTCAGAGATGACATCATTGATATGATATAAGTGAACACCTTATTTTAATACTCGTATTGTTCACATACTTTAGAATCTTCCCTATTTCCCACATCCTCTAAGGCTGGGAAACATCTGTGTCTTGCTCAAGGTTAGAGCAGAGGTAGGGTAAGAAGCAGCCTCCTGTTGTCCAGCCCTTCTGCCATAGCATGTTCATAGGATCTTCCAAGTCTTAGGCGTAAAGCTTGCCTTACAAAAGGTTTCTCTTGTGCTACCTCCAGGACTCTCATTCAGGTTTAAGAACACCTACTTATTCCCTCTATCCTGAAGTATTGGTATTTCCCCCTGGAGTCTTATTTCTTCTATATTTTAAAAAGTAAAATAAATTAGTAAAATCATCTCCCCTTTTTAAAGGCTCTTTTTGCATTCTCTTCATCATAGAATCTGTGGTTTATGGAAGTTTGATGAACCAACTGGTGAGATTTTTGTTCATATTTTAATAACAAATTATGTCCATTTAAACTTTAGTCCACGTCTATTGATTCACTTGTTGTGTCTAGGATCACAGTATTTTGGTGAGTTTGCATCACCGTCCCTGCTTCTAGCCAGCAGCAGACCTTTTCTGCTAACTGTCAGCCCTACAGAGCAAAGCCCTCAGGTACGCAGAAGGAAAGTGTGGGATTCCATTTTGACCAGCGTCTTTCTAGGTGATGTTGACTTTCCGTCCTCAAATGATGATGACATGGTAGGACTTCTCAGCTGTTTCGATACTGGTTCTTAGTCACGGAAACAGCCGTCCGCTTATAACCTGGGCCCTCACACAGCCTCAGATTGAGGGTGGAGCTGAGAGGTTGGGCGCTTCTCTGGCCTGTGTGAGACTGAGGGTTGGATCCCAGCTCTGCAATAATGTAAATAAAACAATGACAGTGACGAGGGACCTTGAGGCTGAGGTTCAGGTCACTTTATGATTTGCCTTTTTCTCTCTGGCCTAGAACCAGAGTGATTCCTGATGATTCCCAGAAACCAATATTCTATAAATATTAGGCACTAAGATTTATACAAATTGAATATCATACATGGAAGAAATCAAAAGCTCTAACAGTACAAATAGGAATCACAGAGCATATCTTTTTCTTTGACAAAAGGAAAAATAATCATACTTGGAGGTAGAAAGCTGCTAATCCCCAAAGCCTCTGAGGAAAGCAGAGAAGCCCATGAGGAAGAAACTAATAACTTCCAAAGTGTGGCTTTCAAAATTGAATTAATAAAAATGTCCCTCTTTTAAGCCACTATAATAATAAAGGTTTTACTTTTCTAAACCTCAGTACACACAAAATGTCAGAGAACAAAACCCCACCAATTCCTACAGAGGCAACTTGCAAATGTTATGCTCCGAGGCCTCAATGTCAGCAAGGGAAGGAGAGTCACCTCTCTGCCCCCATCCCCCACCTCCACTCCCTCCACCCTCCGACCACCCCACCATCAGACCATCCGGGCCTTTTCCTTTTTCATTGACCATCTTAGTCATTTAAACAGCATCTCTTCAGTACAACTTTCAAGTAACTGGAAGACAAAATTTCTACCCACTGGGGACCCTCTACCCAGAAAATTATTAACTCTGACCCAGAAAAAATAAAGACATTAACTATATGAAGTCAGCTACTGATGTGTTATTTTTCAAACCTGTAGTAAACACGGCAGAACACTGATGTCACAGAAGGAGTTATGTCATAGAAAGGACTGATTATTCTCTTCTTCAGATATGTCTGCACCAGGTGACAAATGAGATACTCATGTTCAAACAAACACCCTGGAATTAGAACAACTGTGCAAACTGTGCTCCTGTCAACCCCAATACTGCCCCAGGACCCCTCCATGTAATTGGGGATGGAAGGATGCTGGAGAGCTGCGGAGCAGCAGAGGCTGTGGTCAAGAGCCAAACTAGGCAATGCTGCTTCTCATCCTTAAAGTCACGCTGTATCGGCACTGCCCGCCACCCTCTGCTTGTACCATGGAACTCAAAAGCACCAGCGACAATATTTTCTGTATCTGATCAGGTACAAAAGTCCCCTGAGATGACAAGAAAATTCTCTAACTGAAACGAGTTTCTAGTGAAATATTTCCAAGTACTCCTGTTAGGAGAAGAGATGGGGAAGAGAGAAAGGATAGACGAGGAAAGGAGAAGAAAGAATACAGTGAAAGGCCAGAGGTAGAATGAAAAATATGCTTTCTGACCTGTCACCTACGTTTCTATTTTGTAAGGCATCCATTCATGGGTCATGAAGATTTTTCTAAGATAAAGCTGACTGCAGAATGTTTTCTACTTTCCAGAATGTTAGAGTAAACCATTGGACCCCTTGATAAGGCTCCTAAAATGACTAAACTCCCGGTGATGCTCTTGCTTAGGGTTGGAGACACTGTGGTCCTGATGCTACACTTTCTTCTCCTGGCTATGTCCTTAGCTGGGCTGGCCCCTGCGGTCTTAAGCGAGTCATTTACTAGTTCATTTGTGCACTGGGCTGAGAGATGCTTAGCAAACACGCCCGCAATGCTGAACTTGGTGCTTGAGAAATAGCAGCTTGAGGACATGGTAAACAAGAGGACAGCGTTTGTCCATGCCCAGAGAGAGGCTCTTCCGTGTTTTTGATGGTGCGATTTTTTTTTCTAATGTAGCTGCTAATAAAGAGTCTGAAAGTCAAAAGTCAAAGACAGATGAGCATAATCGGCATAAACAAAATTTTCCAAGCACTCGTCTTTCTTGGGGTTAAGTTCTTTTCCTTCTGCCACCTCCTTAGGAGTTAAAAAGTCCGCATTTGACAACATGTTCTTAGGAGTAAAGAAGTCAGCATTTAACAACGCGTTCTCAGTACTAGAATCCCCCCACCCCACCCCCAAGTTTTGGAGTTTTGTCCGTTGCCTTACTCGGGTGTCTCTGTTTAGACTTCTAACCTGAACCTCTATGCTCGCTTGTTTAGCATATTTTTTTAAAGCAAGATCAATATGTAGGGAGAAATTTCACGAAAGACGTAAAGGTTCAAAGGCTATGGGTACATCCTCACGAGTATGTGTTCAGAGAATCCTTCCAGGTACCGTATCCCTTGCAGTGCAGCTTTGGTCAAGAACACAAGAGCACATTTCACTAGAGGAGAGGATGTTTTCCAGGCATTGTGGACCACTTTAAAAGCTTGTCTGTAATAATAGGGGCACCTCTTTTAAAGAGTTAGCATTTCACAGGAGCTCCAAGAGCAGGGAACCGACGTAATATTTCTCTCACTGTTGCCACCTGGTGGACAGAAATGATGCCTTCCGACCGCACCTAGGAACATGTCCTGGTGTGACCACAAGATGGCAGCACATAACCAAGTTTTCAAACAAGCTCAAAACCATCCAGTGTTCTTCCTCAGAAAGAGACTAATCTGTTCCTGAAGAGAATGAGAAGGAAATAGTCCCCAAAAAATCACAAGTCTACTCCATTTTCATAGAGAAAATTAGAAGTTAGTTTAAAGACCTTTACTCTTTCACAAAGAAATTAAATTATTGCCCGAATAGGAAGGAATATCTAAAATATAACTGGACATTTAGTCTTTTAAAAACACTCCAAACACTATTGTATACACACTCAAGCATTTTTACATAGCTGCTTCATAGAGTAAAGTATTTGGTAGTGTTTCAATATATTTCTTGAAACTCTTTGTCTTTAATTGAAGAATAGGGGAGAATTGTTCCCCCAACATATTCATTCAAAACACATAACTTCTCACCCAAGCCTGTATCGGTGGCTGGTTCCTGTGAGCATATTGCCAGTCGCAGCCTAAAGAATATGTTGCCTAATAAGCCCCCTTCCTATCTGTTTTTCATATGCTAGGCTCCACTAATGTTTTGCTCGTCATCCAGAGTACAGATTTGCGAGTGCCAGGTTCATTGAACTCATGTTCAAAAGCTAAAACTGGGGCATTGAAAGGTTAAGATACATTTCCTAGTTTAAGCAGAGACACAAAGCCTGTAGACCAGATATTAAAAGGAAAAGAAAAGGAAACCCCACAGTTCTTCCTTTGAAGATGGTCCCCTCAGGAGTCTAGAACTTGTTGGGTGATTGGCATCAGCTCCTAGGAAGAAAGGTAGTCCATGCTTCTAGATGAACATACAGTATGATGCGTTTGTTAACTGGACTGTCTACAGGTAGTGTTCTTCACATATAAAAGGGTCTGGGAAGCACTGGTGTGTCTGGGTAGTCTCAGAAGTGCATTGTGAACAACACCAGCCATCACAGCACAAGAGAACAGTCAGAGCGATTCCCTATGGAACTGACCAGTTAGGGAAACCATCTTTTCTGCAAACTCGGGGACAGGCTGGCTGGCATTAGTTTTGCTAGTGATGAGCCACAGCCACTCATTTATATGCTTCAGACTCTGATGTGGGAGACAACTGTCCACTTTTACGACCAGGGTACTCTAGAGCAGGGAGAAGTGAGGAATATTAGACAGAAAGAGATACCTAGACGATGAGAGGAAAGATAGAAACACAGGGTAGCCTCAGGAGGGCCTGGGTCAACACTATTCAAAAGGGCTTTTTATAACAACGCCAAGGGGAGAGGCAAAAAACCTCTCTCTTGCCAGATACAGCCAAATGTAGAACCTTCCATACACCTGGTACCCAATCATCCTCTTATGCAGCCCTGCTGGGTAATGCCACTAGGAAACCTAGGTGGGCTCCAACACACTGGGATAATCATGTTCTTCTTTATAACTGTCGTATTGATACCAGATAATGCTACAATGTTTGAGGGCTTCTCCTTGTGACTACCTTGAGTAGACAGATGAAAAATCGGCAAGGGAGGAGATTAGTATCCCTGAACCTTGGTGACTTTTCAGGCCTGGCTTCAAAGAGCTTAAGCCTTGTGTACTAAATCGGGCCCCCTGTTTTTCTGGGTCAGAAGCATTTGAAACACGCGTTTATTTGTCTCCTGTTTCAATGACTCTGGATCTTCTGTTTTGCATTCAGAGTGACTGTCATGTGCTGGCCTATAGTAGCAAATAGTAAGAGACACAGTCCCAGACTTCATGATGCCCGGGGGGATGACAGGTCTTAATCAAAGCATCAGACAGACACTTTGGAAATTAAGACAGAGATGAGTGTGGGAAGAAATAAAAAGACTGGATGTCCTCAAGGAGACCAAGAAAGGCTCCTCTCTGAAGGGTGATGGAGACCCTACTACAGATCCCATAGTAACCCAAGGGAGGACATGTGGTTCCACAGAGCATAAAGGAAAGCTGGCGAGGTGATGGATGTTTATGAGACCAGACAGGAAGGGTGGCAAGGAGAGCCGCAGATATCAAGCTGTGGATTGGGCCTTTACCCGAAAGGCCACAGAAAAAAACTGAGAATAAATTGGAAGCAGGACTAGAAGATGACAGGGGCTCTGTGCAGACAGCTCTCTGTGGCTGAAGGCATCAGCCATTTGGCATGTTCTTCTAGCTGTGTTGTTACTCGGGAATGCAGGTCTGGGTCCTGATGGTCACAGAGGAAAAATAAACCAACCAACAAACTTGATCTCACGGCCAGTGTGGGCTTCTATATCTAATCAATCATTTAGTTGTCCCTGAAATAGAAAATGGTATCCTATAGAAATTATACACTTTTACTTCCAAAGGTACAGGAGTCTTTTGAATTATTTGGCAAAGACACTTAAAAAAGAAATCCGGATATTTAAAAACAAGCTAATCTTGTTCAACCTTGACGTTTGTTAATACATGCAACAGGTGTTTTCTGAAACTTTCTATAGTTCATGCTCTGCACGAGTGCTAGACTTAATGGTTAATGAGACACTCACTGTGGATGCCCTTGGCCGGGGCATGTATTCTAGTGAGGAGACAAGGCATCAGCAAGTGAGTAACTGTGTAACGTCATGCTGGGAGGGGCTAAGTGCTGCTTAGACTGGTGCTCAGTGAAGGAACCGGTACTAGCTTTGGGAAAGTGATGGGGCAGCATCGCTTGTGTTGATGAGTTTTCAACAGCAATGGGACTGAAGTGACTGGGCGAACGGTAGAGGCATCGGGGAGAACATTTTTAGTAGAGGACACAGCAACTGTGAAGCTTGGGGGTGGAGTGGACTCGCCTGTTAGAGAAGGAGTGATTTAGATATGGGCCAACTAAGGTGAGTGGGGCCAGAATGGCAGGGGAGGGCTGGGGATCAGACACATTCTAGGGTCGCATCCGGTGCAGTCAGGACTGCATTCACACTCCATGCTGGAGTCCTTGTATTTGCCTACATGCTCAGCACGTAACATGGAGTATCCGTAGTTGCCATGCATTTTCTGTGACTACTACTTGCTCATTTAGTCTGAGAAGAGTTTCTTTGCACTCTCCTCTCACTCAGTCTCTGTCAACCATTCCTTCTGCTCTCCTGGTCCTGTCTCCAACCTGCCTTCCTCTCATTCTCCGTTAGTGGAGACCGACAAAACCACCCTCATGTTTATTCCCAGTTGATAAAGATTCTTATTTATTTGTTTTTTTGTTTTTTTTTTTGTTTTGCTAAATGTTTCTTTTTTAGAAATTGGCACCACCGTGCACTTCAAGCAAAAAGGTATGGCTCCTGTTTATACGTACCTTCTAGACATTAGTTAAGATTCCACAGCAATATATTCTTGTCATATGCACTGGGGTTTGATTTAGTGTTGGGATTTGTGATAAGAAACTTCAATAACACAGTTGGCAATATTTTTCCCAAATTGTGAACTTGGTTAACAAAGAACCGCCCACCTGACCCATGGCCCCTGGTCGTGCTTTTGACAGTGACTTACTTTAAATCCCTGGGATGAAGCGAGTTACTCAGCTCCCTCCTACCCGCTCTCCCATCCGTTATGTGCTTCATCTTAAGTGTCCTTGGTTAAGGACTCATTTTGTAGAATGGCCACTACCCAGTGGCAGAGCTCTCAGAGTTTTACAGTTGCTTGGTGACTATTCAGGTAAACGCATCGCTGGCTCTGACACCCACATCGGACATAACCGCTAAGCAGCGACTGATGAGATGAAGCGTGGAAACAGTTGACATTTCACCTCTGCCTCAATTTCCTTCACTCTTCAAAGCCTCACTTGCTGCAGCTTAGCTGGGCTGCCGGCTCTCTGAAAAAAAAAGAGAAAAAAAAAAGCTATTTCATGGTTTCCATGTACACACAGTCCACATACTTATCTTTACAAGGACAGGGCAAGCCTGTCAAAGCTTCATTCAATGGACCCTAAAAATGAGAGCAGCAACGGCTTCTGACTTGCCCACCTTCTACATACACTAGATCAACCTCACAGTCTGTATCCCCAGACAAACACAAAGGAAGCTGTGGTGGGGCCAGATGTCACCTTCCTTCAAGGCCGCGTGGTCATCAACTTGATTGTGAGTTGTCTCTTAGGAAAATAGCTTTCATTCTGAGTCACAACAGGGACGAGACAACCATGATCATCACCAAGAGTAAAAAACAATTCTTTCGGGGATTTGTGTCTTCGAACACCCAAAAGCCAGAGAGGTTTTATGGCTGCTCAGACCGGTACCCCGCTGGTGGCCAGTCCCTACAGGTCATCATTATCTAGCAGATAAGAGGTAGCCAAGTACATCATCTTAAGACAGAACTCTTTGAAGCAAGAAGGCATAAAATATTAATAACTTCTTTAGCCCTTTTTCTCTTCCCAATATGATTACAAATTATCCAATAATTTGCCTAGCAGCACATGTGAAACCTTAGAACTCTGATGTGGGTGATGACATAAGGCATAGGTTTTTTTTTTCTTTTTAATTCAAATGTCACTATGATAAGGTATCAGTGTGAGCATACGTGGTAACTAAGTTTTTCATAAATGGTGTGTAAAAGTACTTGATATTGTTTTCTGGTTTTGTTTGTTTGTTTTGCTTTGGCTTTTCTTTTTCTTTTTTTGATTTGGGGTCTAATGTATGCCACGCTGGCCTTAAACTCGTATGTACCAAGCTGGTCATAAGCTTCTTGTCCCCCTGCCTCCCCTTCCCAAGTACTGGACTGCAATTGTGCACCACCCCTCCAGCTTTGAGAAGAAGGACGTGTTGCTTCTAACTGTATTATGAGACAGTTTCATCTGACCAAAATCTCACTTTCTAGAGGGTAAAGACAGAGAGTAAATGCAGGAAGAGCCTGCATTTAAGGTATAATATTCAAAACCAATATTATCTCTCCTCTAATCGACTCCAGTCCTGGGGATTATAGGCTTCAATCTACACAGAGGAACCTGTACTAGCAGTAAGTGGACAGCAGATGGCACCAGAGTCAATGTTATCGCACTTGAATTCAACATGGCTTCCCAACATTCCCATGCCTTGCCCAGCCCCTGGCAGAACACACAGAACTTGTGTTTTGAGATTCTATAGATTATTGACCTCCGTTATCCAGCATTGTTTTCCTAAACTGTTTACATTTTTTGCTTTGTTTTTAGTCATTCCATCAGCCTTCAGCAATTCCAAAAAATATTTTTCTCTTTTTGTATAATGGAAACACAAACTAAGACTGACACTGATTTCTTACTGGCTGAAATGGACAGCCAGTGATCACTGCCAATGTGGTTAAAGATGACTTTGAATAAATCCAGTCACAATGGAAAAAGGAAAGGAAACACCATTGGTCTGGGAATTAAAAGCATCTTCAAAATAGATGTTTGAAGAAAGGCAAAACGATGAGCTCAGAATCCTACATCGGATCAGCAGCAGATAATCTTACCTCCAAAAATTCTTCAATTTAGGCCATTTAATAAACTTTTACAGTGAACTACAGGTTTTGCCATTTTATAAACATGGTCAGGACAAAGGTGCACTCTAGTATTCACACCTTGATACAGTCTCCGTTCACCTGAGTGACAACCTTGAGAACAGTGACTTATAATTTATTATTTTGCTGCAGCTGGATTTTGTCTTTTACTAGTAAACCAAAAAGCCCCAAGTCAATACAGCCTGGTGGCTCTGTGGGTAAAGTCACCTGCTGCCAAGCCCAAGGACCTGAGTTTGTCACTGGAACTCACATGGGCAAAGGGGAAACACGCCATGGCATGCAAACATGCATTCACATACACACACACACACACACACACACACACACACACACACACACAC